ATGAGTGTTCAGAATCATTAATATTTGCTCGTTATTTCTTTGATTTTGTGGATTTATTGCTGTTGATTTGGTTGTGTCATGCTTATTTTCGTGTATGGTCTTACTTTCCAGAATTAGTGATAAAATGGGTGCATTCTGCATTTTTTTTATTATTTGGTTACGGCTAGAGACATATGCTCGACTTTGGACACGACACGGTCTGACGTGGCAGTTTCTAGAAGGTCCAATCAGCGACGGTTTCTAGAAGATCTACTCAGCACGCCTTCTGGAAGATGGACGAGTAGAGTTGCATTAGGAGACTTGTTTAGAGTTTGAATTTAGAAAAAAAATTAATTATCTTTAGGATTATTTTATTTTAATTTATTTGTTTATCCCTAGGCTTTGAGAGGCTATAAATACCCTCTTGGGGTAAGCCTAAACACACATCTCAGATTACAATTCTCTTCTTCTTTCTAGTTTTATTAAAGATTTCTCTTTTATTTTACTTTTCAAGTTTTTCGTTTTTACTTTTATTTTCAATTTGTTTTTAAATATGCTAAGTATGACTTTTGTCATGCTTAGCTAAATTTTTCATAAGCCGAGAGCTGAAGCGATGACTCAATTCCAACGGGAGAATTGAAACATGCCCTTAATATCTTTGGAATATCTCTCTCAATCTCTACGCTTATTTTTTCAAAATCAAAACAGTTATCAAAATCAAATATAGACTTTGGTCTAGATTGTTGTTGCGATTAAACGTGTGGGAGGAAGATTCGGCTTATAGAAAGCACATTCGACTTCCTGGGAGCACAATTGGCGAGATAGCTTCGACAAGAAGGAATTGAGATCGGAATTGACGGTTATAGAAACAACAATCCGAGTCGGTTGCCATGAACTTAAACGATAATTGATCCACTGCAATTGATGTTGATTAGATGAATTTCCGAAGCCGGAATCAAAGATTGCCTTGGGTATTCGGTATACAAAATAAAGTCACGAGGATAGCCCTTGTAGACAAAGTAACCAACGAGAATCCCGAAGGGAAAATCTAATTCGACGATCTAAAGAAAATCGAGTCAAAGCGAAGCTTGAGGCTGTTTTTACCATATCTATTTTTCAACTTTAAAATCATTTCTTTATTTTTACTTCAAATTGCCTTTATTAATATTTAAAAATATTTTTACCAAACCCCCCATTCACTATATCACTCCTGGCATAAATAAATCAAACAGAAATTTATAATTTTCCAAGTCCCTGTGGAATCGACCCTTACTTCTCTATGCTACGAATTTTCCTTTATTTATTATCCGAGAAGAAAAAAATTATATTTTGACATCAAAACGATAGTTGTCAATGCTTCTAACGTTTGATTAAATAGTCACTTTGGCCTATATTCTTTTTTTAGCATTTGACCCCTAACGTTTCCATATATGCAAAAAGACCCCATGTGGATGAAAATCGTTACTCAGCAAACCATCAATGCTCCATATGACATCAAAACGATAGTTGTCAATGCTTCTAACATTTGATTAAATAGTCACTTTGGCCTATATTCTTTTTTAGCATTTGACCCCTAACGTTTCCATATATGCAAAAAGACCCCATGTGGATGAAAATCGTTACTCAACGAACCATCAATGCTCCATAATAGGAGCTTTTTTGCCCTAAAATGAAACATTGGGGGCAAAATGTTCCAAAAAATATTAAGGGCTAAAGTAATTATTTAATCAAATGTTACGGGTCTTTTTACCCTAGAATGAAATGTAGGGCCAAAATACTCCAAAAAGAAATAATATAAACTAAAATGACTTCTTAAAAAAAACTAAAATGACTAATTAGTCAAACGTTAGAGATATTTTTAATAGTATACCTTTAATTTACCATAATTTTTATTCTAAAAATAATTTTTCTTGCTTTTTTTTCTTTAATAATTTTGATTTATTCAATCTAAATTAAAGATAGAGTCAAACAAATTTTAGTGCATCATTGGTGCATGAATCTCATATACTCTCAATGAACCACAAAAAGCCATTTTACTTAATGAAAAAAATAAAACATACCGAAAGACATAAATAAATGCTTAAAAGAGATAATGTCACTTTTGGTACATGTAATTTGACAAAATGTGCAATGTAGTTTATGTACTTTTAAAATGTTTAATATGGTACATGTAGCCTAGTAAGATATCTAATGCGATACTTGTACTTTAAAATGTCTATTGTGGTACTTATATTTGACAAAAAAAATCAAATGTGATACTTATGCTTTGATAAAATATCCAATGTAATACTCAAACTATCATTTTGTATATTATTATAGTACATGTGAATTTTCGTTGATTGATTTGTCACTTACCTAATACCATAATAATACACGAAATAATATTTTAAGTACGACACTTGCTAATAGTGTTATTTCAGGTACTATAATATTACTTAGAATAATAGTTCATGTACCATATCGAACATTATGACGAAGTATATGTATTACATTAAACGTTTTAAAAGTACATGAATCACATTAGATATTTTTATTAAAGTGCAAGTAGTTTAATGGAGATTTTATAAAAGATCCAGTACTATATTTGATATTTTAAAGACATAATGTCAAAATTAATGTAACACCCATCTCCCGTATACCTTTTCGTACACTAGATCTAGATGTTACGTCACTTTTAAACAATTCTTCTTTCGAAAACCCGTAAAATTTTGTTTTTTTAAACATTTTAATTAAACTAATATAAGATATGCATTAATTTTAATTACATAACAAAAGGCATTGTTCAAATGTTTTTCAGAGCGTTTTCACTAAATATATTATATGTCATCTAAATACATCAAAAAGTAGACATGTATATCATATTGTTACTGACGAGGCGACCCTTGCTTCGATGTCCGACAATCTCCTTACTCCGCTGGTAGTAAAACCTACATGTGAAATTAACATCCGCTAAGAAATTTCTTAGTGAGGCATAACTACTCAAAAGCAAAATTCTACACACAATTATATCATTACAATTCAAATTTCTAGGGATTCTTTCAATTCAATAAACACTCTATAGTTTACATCACTAGTGCTAATACTGTCATTTTTCAACCATTTCTATAATCTATGTGAGTTGCATACTCACTACCAATGCCGAAATTCACCTATTTGTTATGAATTTCTTATGTTGCATAGGTAATTCCCATACGAAAATTCATACACTTAGTATGAATTTCTTAATTTGCACACATAGTGCCCATACGGGAATTCATACACTTAGTATGAATTTCTTAACTTGTTGCACACAAAGTGTCATTTGGTAATCACCATACATATATCAATCAATTATACATTTATGAATAGCATAACATATAGGTACATAATAAATGCACTCACCTGCCTTGCCTCGCTTTAGTATCCAAAAAGTAAAGTTGATTACTCCAGAACTTGGCCTTTGCCTTTTGCTTTGCTTTTGCCTTTTGCTTTGCTTGACTCTGGAGCTTGATTTCGATCTATTCAATATCCATTAAATACATGTACACTATCAATTGTTAGTATATTTCCTAACAATTACACTTAAACATTACTCAAAAGTACCTATTATTTACTTTTCTATAACAATATCAGCATATCTTACAATTTATGGCTCCTTAGTATCGATACCCCTACCATGGTATCAATAATACTATATTGTGGTAACAATACTCTGTTACGGTATCAATACCATTTTTGCATTTTGTTTTTAATGGTATCGATACCTTCCTTATAGTATCGATACCCCCTAACTAGTTGATTCTTCCTATTTTAGCCTACAGTGTCGGTATTATTCTATCAGTACCGATACCATTACCCAGATTTTCCATTTTTCAACCCGAAACATACCCAAATTTGGCCAATTTTCCTTATGTTTACCCCCAACAATACTATTTAACTCTTCTATATTTATTCATACTAACTTTCTTTCATTTAGCTACTTAAAACATCTAGCAATCATCAAGATCATTTGATTCTAAGAATCACACCACATTTTCTAACTTATTTTTAAACTCATCCAATGCTTCTAATCTCTCATTTAACTCTTTGACAGGTCAAATCTACTTGTAAGCATCAATAAACACTCATATCTTAACATATCATTTCAAAACTCATTTTCTTAATTCTCTATTATTTCCTCCATCTCATAGTTTTAATCTTATATAACCTTTCCTTAAGCTTACCTATCATTTAAGGTTACAAGAACCAACCAAAAATCAAACGAAAACATGAGCTAGATGAAGCTTACCTTAAGCTATGGAGGAGCACTCTCAATCACGGGAAGAAGAAGAAGAGTAATAAGTCTTCACTTTCCTCTTTTTCTTAAATCCCTAATTTAAATGGGTTTTAAATTCATTTCACTTATAAAGACCAAAATACTCTTTCATTAATCTAGTTATTACAAATTGGTCTTACTTAAGTCATTTCTTATACTTTACCACTTACTCAATTTAGTCCTCCAAATGTTTAATTTCTTTCAAGTTTGTTACTGACCTACTATTTGGGGTATTACAATTAACCCCTCAATGTTTATCAAAATGGTCATTTTGACCTTCAACATTTTGTTTTAGAGTAAAAAGACCTCTATTTTGGAGTGTTAACAGTTTGTTAACTAACGATTCTATCCATAAAAGGACTTTTTTACCTCAAAATGAAATGTTAGATGACTAAAATGCTCCAAAAAAGAGAATAATCAAAATAACCTTTTGATAAATGTTACGTATACCACATTTGATATTTTATCAAGTACAATTATCAAATGTGACATTATCCCTACTTAATATTATATTTAAACATGGTGAAAAATGTAATTTTAAGGATATGTTTATATTTTATTTGACTCATTAAATGAGGTTACGTATCATATAGTGCGTAAGAGTCATGCAACATCAAATATGATGATCCCTTGGAATATAAATTTTGGTAGCTTTTTAACACTGATGCAACCATAAACATAAAGTTGAAGCACTCTAACGGCTATTGCTAGGGGAATATAAAGTACCTGCATTAGCAAGGAGATACCTCTGCCTTGCACATATTTTAACATGATACAGAATCTAAACTGATGAACCTAATTCAAAGCCTCCGTGGATCCTCTATAAATGTCAAATATTCCATTGTAGAGACACAGAAACCCTCCATCACAAAACCAAAAGATAGCTTGACCTAACAAAATACAAGAAAATTACATGACACTTGCATGGCTCCTGCTCCTCAGATGGCTTCCCAATAGATTTCAACTGATGGGTACTTCCCTACACAGAAGTTTTCCCACTTGGAATCAGAGAAATCGAAGAAAGTGATATCAGATTCTGGTGAAGATGATCCTGCCAAGGACTCATGATCAGTTGATGATGATGATGACAGTGATGAATTATCTATTTTGTGATCGAACTCCTCTGTCTTCACTATAGGCTTTGAATCCGAAACTGAACCTGTCTTGTCTGAATTCCCTTGTTTCTGCAAGCTCTGACAGATGGCTTGGAGCTTTGCGTCAACTGAGGCATGGAGAGGCTTGTAGTCACCAAATTCTCCAAAAACATGAGCTCCTTGGTTCTTGAGGTGGGGGAAGTTAAGCCTGGCGAACTCTCCCCGAAGCTTGTAAGCGGCTTTGTCGTAAGCCAAAGCTGCTTCCTCGGCTGTATCGAAAGTGCCAAGCCAAAGGCGGGTTCGGTTCTTTGGGAGTCTGATTTCAGCTACCCATTTGCCCCAGTGCCTCTGTCTCACGCCCCTAAACAGTTTGGTAGCCTTTTGAGGGGCGGATGAGACATGTTTCATAGGGACAGGCTTTGGGGAAAGAAAGTTAAGCCTCTGGTTTTGGAGAGATGTTGTTGCAGCAGCCATGGACGCAAGCTCCAGTTCCTGCTGCTGCTGTTGTTGAAGGATTTGAGCTTGAATTTGGAGGATTTGAGAAGGGGTGAGTTGGTTAAGCCCGAGTGAGCCTGTTTGCTCGAAACCCATCATGTTGTCATAGTTAGAGAACTCATAATTCGAAAACAAGTGGGTGGTGCACGACGAGGAGCAAAATTCAGGGTATAAGTTGGGCTGTGATGGAACGATGAGCTGAGAATAAGAGCAAGAAGAAGAAGAAGACAAAGGAGAAGAAGCACTTTTCATAAAAGGTGCAAGCGCTTTCATTAGCTCTTCTCTCAAAGGATCTGAGAAAACTGAGTTTATGCTGCTATTATACATATCTACAGTAGCTGCCATATCCCCGCAAAAAAAAATCTAAAAATTACCTGTTTCTTAACCAAAACTAAAGAACAGGCAATAGTAAAAACAACCTTGAGGGACCAAAAACAAACCCTCTCAGTTGATGAAAATCAAGATTAATACGTCGTTAAAAAAAACCTGTTTCTCTATTCTGGATCACCTGGCTTTCAAAAGAACAACCTTGAAGGCTTTGTTTTCGAAACAGATTTTTCTTCTATCAGCTTGAAAGACAGACGATAACAGAAAGGGATTCAGCGAAGCGGGGAATTAAGAAGAAGAATGAAATCATCAAAGACTGCTGCAAAATCTGGAAATTGAAATCCTCTCTATTATTTGGGTGGTCTCACCTTGGTGTTTAACTCTTGCATTTCCTGGGTAAGCTCATCCCTACTTATATAACCCTCTACAGTCGCCCATGTGCTTCTCTCTCAAAACCCTTTGATTTTTTTCAAATTATTTTTTAAATATTTATGAGATAATTTGAATTTAATTAATCACCTCCCCTCTTGTCAACTTCAAAGATGCCAAAGAGGATGACGAGAGGAGGGTACCCCGATGAAGTCTGCATTTACTTGAATGTTCAAGACTTCAACCGGCACGTGTCGGGTGTAGACATTTTGCTGACATGGCATAATTCCTCTGCCATGTTGCCACCTCGATCAACATCTGAAATCACATCATGGCTTAAAATGAATGACATCATTTCTTAATTTCTTTCAGTATCTATTCCGAAACCATTAAAAAACAAAATCACATGCAGCCGGAGATGATCATTTACAAATTATTATCCATCGCCATAAAGTTTAATCCAATATTTATTTTTGAACAATTTCTATTTAAAAGAGAAAAAAACATTTTGTTTTTAATGGATAACAATTTCACAACCTAAAAGAAGTAAAAGATATTAATTTAAAGTTTTTAACCATATACACCCTATATTATTAATAATCAGAGATTTATTTTAAAAGAAGAGTTTAATTAAGTCATAATTATTATAAATAGAATACAATTACGTTATATAAAAATAGTTGATAATATGGCATGAAAATGATAAATGCACAGTATTAAAAGTTATGGAAAATTAATTATCTAGATATTAAATATTAATTATGCAAACGTCAATGAAAACAAAACAATTTCATCCGAAATTAATCTCAGGAAACAAAACGGAATTCATTAATAATAAAATGAAATATATGTTGAGATAATCCAATGTGGACAGTGCTGTTTGCGGGGAAAACAAAATTTGGTAATAAAAACCAAAAGCAACTTTATAATAATGATTAAAGTAAATTAAATTTGTAAGAATTAAACCAACTTAGTGATTAAGAAATATTTATTATCTCTAAAAGTTTTAAATTTAAGTACAAGAATATTTAAATATTTATTATTAAATAATTAAATATATTATCTTATAATTATCTCTAATTAATAAAAAAATATATTGAATTTAATAATGTGAGCATAAACGAAAAACACAGGAAGATAATGTCGGAAGTAGCGAGAACCAACTTATTTTAATAATTGAAGGATCATTATTATATTTAGAAATTATATATTCGAATATCAACTATTGTGAGGTGATTTTTTTCAAAAATCATCGGTGATCGGTGTATTTATCGATCTAACACCGGTCATATTATATTTTTTGATCTAACACCCGTAGCAGTAAATCGCTCCTCTTGAATAGAGTTATATTCTGATTTGGCGCCACGTGGAGTATAGTGCGCCCCCTGTACCGCGCTATACGCTGACTGGGTTACACGTGGGGTATAGCGCCCCCCTGCTACGCGCTATACGCCACGTAAGGGTATAGCGCGGATTAGGGGCCACGTTATACGCCGTACCAAAGTTATATTTAACACGGTCCCTGATTCGCGCTATAGAATAATTACATATAACGCGGTGCCGGTACCGCGCCTTATATGTTTATAAATACCGCATCTCTCCTTACATCTCCTGCATCTCTCCTCTCTTATAAATTAATACAACAATTCCGTCAACGCGTAATAATTTTGGTAATCTTCTCATATTTGATTTAGAAGTTCGAGCGATTTTTCGTTATAAGGTAATTTTGTTATAATTTTTTAATTATACTTATTGTTTATTATCATTATTTGAAAAAATATTATACTAATTATTTTCAATTAATTTTTATGTTTGTAAAATTGAAAAGCGAGAGCATACGTCAAAATAGTTTTGTGGTGCAGATAATAATATAAAATTATATTATTTAAATTATTTACGTTGATGTGTAAAAAAATTTTGTGTTATATTTTCGTTTATATATAATTTATTTAATCATGTTTGTTTAAGTTATTTTTTTTGCAGATATAATATTGCTGCACTTTTAAACTCAAAGAATGGCGCGACTTTGAGCTATTGTTTATTATGATGGTGAAATTCGAGAAGATGAAACCGGCGTTGTTTTCGTATCAAATGAGCGTGTTAAAATATCATTCAAGAGAAACATAACTCTTGAGGAGCTGATAACGAAGATTTCGAGGAAGATTCATGTTGGAAGTAATAGAAGAATTTCGTCGTTGCAGTACAGATTTCCAACACCATTGTTGTCATAACTTATACAGCGTTCGAACTTTCGAACAATGATGATGTTCAAATGATGGTTGAAGCTCAAAGTAATTATTCAGACGCCGCTATTGAGATGTATGCATATTTTGTTCAAGTGCGTGTTGTTCGGGGTCAAACTTTAAGCTCACACTATGGGCTGGCTGAACAAGTTAATCAAGTTGACAGCCCGACTACAATAATGTGTAATGATTTTAATACCATAATGGGGAGACATTCATCCGTAACTCCTTACGATATGTAACGAGGTGGGTCCACGAACAATCCATATGGAAACACCTCGTCCAGTTCAAGGGGAAGGCATTCATTTGCAAATTTCTTTGACCATATGGAGATGTCATCGACGCAACCATCTGTGCAGTTTCGATTTGACACGATGACTTCAAGCTCCAGGGGGAGGCATTCGACTGCGAGCTTTTTCGATCTCAATGTCAATATGCCTTCCAGTTCAAGAGGAAGGCGTGCAAGTAGTAGGTTCTTCGACCTAAATGTGGAGAGCATAGAGGAACCATCATCTCCACCAGAAGAACCGCTTCGTGAGCCTGGTGCGGATAGACTGGACTATTCATTCACCCAGAATCACCGCAATTCAACTCTGATGATGATGAAGTTCCAGGAAATGTGGCACAAACTGACCCTCCTGCACACATGTATGAAGTTGATTATGGTGCAATGTACGGGCCAGAATTTGCGGATATGCCTCATCTCGGTGACTATGGATATTACTCATCAATAAATAATGGTGAGTTATCTTTAGGCATGGAGTTTTCAAGAAAAGAAGAAGCGATGATGGCTATCAAAAATTACAATATCCATAATTCTGTTCAGTCCAGAGTCAACCGATCGACGACCGAAAAATATGTATGATATTGTGTCCGACGCGAAAACGGATGCAATTGGATGGTTCGCGTATCGAAAATGAAGAGGAAAAACAACATATGGGAACTAACAGTATACAACGGTCCTCACACATGTTGTGCTGGAGGGGTCAACCAAGATCATCCCAACTTGGACTCTGAAGTGATATGACAAGCCATCATGCCCATGGTAAAAGCAAGCTCTCATATAGCTGTTGCAGTGTTGATTTCAGCTATACAATCGTAGTATGGGTACACCGTCTCCTATAAAAAAGCTTGGTTGGCAAAACAAAATGCCATTGTCAAACTTCATGGCGAATGGGATGCATCTTACAACGAACTTCCAGGTTGGTTTAGGCTGGTGCGGACGTTGAATCCTGGGATAATTGTGGACTTCGAAACCTCCTATGCATACCATAATGATCGAGTTCTTCGCGATCGATGCAAATTCTACTAGGTTTTTTAGAGTTACCCACAGTGCGTTAATGCTGCCAAATACTACAAGCCTGTGGTCCAGATCGACGGGACTTTCTTGTATGGAAAATACAAGCAAGTTTTATTATTGGCAGTTGTCCAAGATGGCAATCGCAACATTCTTCCAGTTACTTTTGCTCTTGTCGAAGGAGAAGATACAGATTCTTGGGCTTTTTTCCTTCCAAAATTTACGTGCACATGTTATCACGAGGGAAAAAAATTGTGTCATTTCAGATCGCGGAGCTGGGATCAAAGCAGCAATGGAGTCTTTGGATCCAATGTGGCAACCACCCTTTGTCCAACATAGGTATTGTCTCCGACACATTGTTGCGAACTATCATGGAAGGTACAAGAAGAATGATGAGCGTCAATTAATTGTGCGCATGGGTAAGTGAAAGCAAGTTAGTAAGTTATACATTTTTTGATCATTTTAATTTTGCAAAGAAAGCAAGTTAGTAAGTTATACATTTTTTGATCAGGTTACGAACTACTTCCTCGAACGTTTGAATCAATGCTTCAAGATTTACGGGCGAAGAACGAGGAAGGATACGATTACATCAACCTCATCGATAAAGAAATGTGGACGAACGCATATAATGGTGGATATCGATATGGACATATGACGACCAACTTGGCTGAGGCAATCAATTCAACCTTAAAGGGTGCACGTCACTTACCTGTAGCGGCTTTGGTAAAAACTATATATTTTCGTTTGGGGGTGCTTTTTGTGAAGCTCGGGGGATAAGCTCAAACCTGGATGCAAGGCGGTCATGTTTATCACCCTAGATTAGTTGCAGATCTACAGAAAAAAATTGATGCATCAAATGGAATGTCTGTAACAAGCTTCTCTAGAAGGCATGAAATGTTTCGTGTCACAGAGTTGCCGCGACCTCTTCAAGGGATTGAAACTGTGTCGTTAAGAGTAAATCTAAGGGACAGAACGTGCGACTGCGGGTTTTTTCAAGCTCTGAAGTATCCATGCTCTCATGTTATAGCAACTTGCTCGCATACACGTCAAGACTATATCCATTTTGTGGATCCCGTATACCTACTATCTGAAGTTTTTAAGGTATACGAATTTGAGTTTCCCCCCATAGGTAATGATAAAGACCCTGATGAGGTTCAAGATTGGCTTCTGATTGTACCAAATCTGAGTTTATTGAGGAAGCGTGGTCGTCCAAAATCTAATCGAATTCATTGCGATATGGATATTCGAGAAATATCTAGACAAGACAGAAGATGTGGCCATTGTAGAAACCCAGGACACACTAGAAATATATGTCTACTTCTGTTGTCATCAAGTAATAATTGATGAGGACCTTGGAGGTGTATGACTGACTATCCCACCGGCCTACGAAAATTGGAAAAACTGGGAAAACCCAGACATCGCTGAGTGTGAAAACTGTACAGGAGGTGTCTGTGTTGTGGCCATGGGTGATGAGGCTGAACCCGCTAAATATCC